CGTTCGCGCGCGCGACATTCGTTCGTTCGTCGTTCGTTCGTAGAGAGTGGTGATAATAATTTACTCGCAACTTCGACTTATTGTCGAAGCCGGGAGAGGGAAGGGAGAAGAAGGTAACGCGTCGTGCCATCAAGTAGATTCTCTTAAGCAGAAAAATCATTCCGCGCTGGCCTACCACACGTGGGTACAGGTGTGAGTCGTAATAACATAGTGGATGTGCCCTTTAACCCCTAATATCCCTACCTTCGCGCTGACTTCACTAAGGCCGCCGCAAACGGACGTAGGAACACGGCAATCATCGTACCTCTGTATCAATTGCAGGCGCATTATTATTGCGGATATACTTGACGGTCTGCCGTATCATTGAACTTTCGGCAATACGCCGCGATCGCGAACGTTGTCATTGGCGACATACATTATGTTTCAATGACAAAGCAACGTGTTTTTCTTATGGAACAATAGGAGTCATTTTCAGGGATTTTCACACAGGATTTAAAGGCATGGAATATACAAAACGTTTTCTCTGAACAAGAATTCCAAATTTATTTGAAATGTTTAAAATGTAGTATAATACTTCAATGTAGTATAATACTTCAAGAGTGAAAGAAATTATCGTTAATAATGTTCGAACGTTACTTTACAACCGTACAGTGATTCGTTTTGATACAGTGCAATGAAAATCTGAAAGTCGGTGCACCACAAGGTAATCGCACGGTGAGTTGAGCAAACCAATTTGGCGATTATATCGAGATGCATAAACTTAGCAATCTTTATGTCGAAGGGAAAACGATTTGAATCTATAGTAATTGTAAAGTAACGCTATTTACGCGCTTCACTATTGCGTGAGCAGTATTCGAGAAAATGCTGTAAGTGAAAATTTCTATTTGAAAAATTAAGAAAAAAAATATTGCAGTTTGCTGAAAACCGCGACAGTCTTATTGTCACTGGCAACAAAATTTCAGTCAGAATTATCGATCAATCAGATATATCGATCTTCGAAGAAAGAAATCAATAAAGATTATGAAATAGCTCACGAAACGTGAATAAAACATAATTATTAGCGTATAATAAATTGCGGTCATCGCTTCCATTTGAGCGTCGCACACGAGCAAATAGACGAGCAATATAAATGAATGTTAATACACTTTTAGTTTTTATCTATACCCTGTTCTTTCAGACAGCTGAATTCTACTGAATAGTGTCTCACTCGTGTCTCAAGTAGAAGCGTTGCTACACATCTACGGACTAAGATTATTACTAATATAATTTTAACGGCTTTCAAAACCATCGTTCCTTACAGATGCAATTCATATATCAGTTTTACCATTTTTACCATCTTTACCATCTTTACCATTTTCTAATTTTGTGGTCATTTTAATCGATATTGAAAATATTTGATTCGATTGAAATAACATTTAAAAAATGCATTATAATTTTGCAAAGGCTAAACGATGATTTTCGAAGATACCGAATATCGTAATACTTTTGTTCGCACTTATCGAATTGAATGCTTTTTTTATAACTCTTTTTTGCAGAGCATCGCAATAACCATACGATTCCCTTTGAATAATGAAAAAGATACATGCATATATATCTAATAATCTATATAATATATAGATGAATATAAATTCAGTAAAATGATAAACGTGACACGACCGTTATAATATTATCAAGTATTCCTTCAACCGCGTGCATAAGATAATGTAGAATAGGTATACTATAAGTAGCATTTTGATTTTTCAGGTACTTTATACACGTCATTATATTTCGTATAAGGCAGATTAAAAATCGTGTCGCGCTCTCGTGATACGAAAGTAAAGTGTACTTGAAATGCGTCACTTAAAACAATTATTGCTGCAACAAAAGGCGTTGCCTTTCAATTTACGAAATATCCTTAAGTTTTATTTGATATTTTCTAATAATGATATTTAATTCCTTTAGGTTTGGTTAATACGAGACAAAAGATTTCAATAACATTTTAAGTCACACATTGCATAAAAAGTCTGTGCGGTGATATTCCGTTATTTTAATGTTATTTGTAAAATACTACAGTCACATGTATGCATGTAATATGCGTAAGTCTCCATGTTAAATCGCCATAATTCTAAAATAAGCGCAAAGTCACGTTTATTATTGAGTTTCATTATCATTCTTGTTAAGTCAGAGATCTTCATTTCATTGAATAATTCCATTATAATATTTGACAATTGTGTCATCTTAATATATTTTATCGAAAAGTATTCGATACGATTGACATTCCTCCATCTAACGGGCAATTAAATAATTGCCATTCTCTAATACGATGAATGTAAGTACGTATGTACTTCATTATTGGATAACTATATAATTATCCAATAAATTCTCACTCGAGGTACTCGTATATCCTCTGTATATCTCTAGTCGGTGTTCAAATAACGAGTAAAAAATTGTTTACGTAAATTACGTTTAACAAGATAATCAAGCGATTATCTTACGTCAATTAAAAAAAAAATCAGTCACTTTCCCATCGCTAAATTCAATCAAAATTTCAGTTGAATCAATTAAAATTCGTAGAAGAAAAATAGCAAAAGTAAGATACGTTCCCGACCATGTTAGGTGGAAGGAACTATTTCTCTGATCGCGCAGATATTTAATTGCACTTTCATGATTGATAAGAAAAAGAGACTTGCTTAACACAGTTTCATCAGGGCATAATGAAAACCTGTATTAAATTCTTGATAACATCAACGTCCATTATAGTGAAGACGATAGTCAAGATCGTGGAAAGACTGAAATCTTATCTCCACTTTCAATTAAAATCACTTCTCTTACACACGTCGATCATAAAAAAAAAATCACGAACATTTAGTTCGACATATTCTTTATCACGAATTCTTCATCGTATACAACTTCCTTCATCATTCGCGATCTATTCAACATTCATTATTCGAGATAGTCGCCGTCGTTTGCGATTTATTGATGCGACACAAGACTTATACGAAAGTATCGTCTTTAATCCTGTCAACTCTTTCTTTCTCTTTTTTCTTTTTAATACCTTCAAGAAAGCATAGTATACTTTAACCAAGTGTAGGTCATCAATGCTAGTGCATCGAATTTGAGAAATATATTCGGCTTACGCGCGAATTTCTCATTAAAGAGATATCGACTGAATATAAACTATATCTCTATTTAGTGCAGTGATGCTCATCTCCATATCGAGTCTGAGCATCACTGTAAATACTTTGATTTTTCAGGCAATTGTAACAAAACTTTGCCTACTATAAACATTTGCTATTTATAGCACATGGTACTTACGTAGAAAAAAAAATGAGATGTTAACGACCATACTACCATTCATGCAGGTCGAGGCACTAAATTTTTCGCAGGATAAAGTAAAAATTCACAAAATGCGGATAGTGTAAAATAACGATAATTTAATATAATTGGCACCCCCAAAAAAGGAAAGAGATATGTTTCGCTAATATTACTATTTCTTCGTGATATTTCACGGTCGTACTATGGCATTATATATATTTACAAAGTGTCAAAACGATATCAAATCGCCGTTATTTTACATAATTATTTTATTTACACACACAGATTGTGTTCGCTATCTCTATGTAGTCCGCAAAATGCCAGATGGACTTACCGACGATGTCGCCTCTCTTATGAGAAGCTTAAGATCTGCACAAGCATGGATCGGAGTCGTTACTCTGGAGCGCTTACACAGTAAGCATCGTGCAAATTGTAAGCTTTCAATGATTGACCATAAGGCATTTCTCGTTACTTCGCATCGCGCACATATGCATTTAGAATGGCTGCTTTCGTTACACAGACTATTCATTTTATATCATACATTTTCTCAAAAAGACTTTACAAAATAGATTTCGACAATTTACAGCATCCACATATCACTTTATCACTTTATCAAAAGCTCGATATTATTTAAAAATTTCTTAAAAATTATTTTTCTTTTTGAAAAAATAATTTTCGCCTTTTAGCACAAACTTCGCTTACCATTTTTCTTTAAGTTTATTTATATTAGCTACCGTTTCACTTTTAAATACAAGTGCCTTCAAATATTAAAGACACATCTCGAAAAAAATCGATAAATACATTTTTACAATTAGAAATTCTGACTAATTACGTTAATGAGTCATTAGTAGTCTCAAACGTACATATCTTTCTCTTATTAAAGAATCGTACACGAGAAAGAGCTATCAAGATATATCACAATCTAAAATTTCCAACCGTATTAAAAGAAAATATATATACGAATATACATATCTTCCGATCAGATATGACACTAGATAAATATCGTCAGTAGCATGCACAATGTTATTGTATATTGAAATAAAAGAAGAAATTGAAGGTGCAGAATATTTCGGGAATGACATAAATGCATGCAATAAATGCTAAAGTACACGTATACACATGCATTCAAATTCTTATTGTGCAAAGTTATATTATTCACAGTGCATGAACAACCGATAAACTCTTTTGCTACAATTAGATTCACAAATTTTTTTATATAAGATCAGTGTATATCATCATGCACGTGTTTGTAGAAAAATTTGCGTGCACAAGCCGTTTTCCGAAAATTTATGATACCTAATGTCTTTGAAGCGTAAATATCCGATATAGCTTGTATGTGTGTTTTATATATTTGCGTATATAGATGCAGGACAAAAGAAGTTGAAATAAACATTCGTTGTTAAGGAAAATTGACGATATTACAGGCAAAATCGCAGAATACTTGGAACAAATAGGAAGCTTAGCAGTATGGAATCCAAGTACTATTTCCTAAGTAAAATTCGATGTAAATGGACTCCCGTCCGTCAAAAAACTGTCAAGTCCATTTTATGTTATCAGTTTTATATTCTTCGGGAGGAAAACTAAACATTAGCCTCCAAGAAAAATAGTATGTATAATGAGTAAAATATATAATATATGATCTGTATATATATATATATATATATATATATATCTATAAATAGATGCATCTTGTTCTTGTATGAATATTAAAATAGAAGAACAGAAAATCTTTAATTGCGTTTGAGATTCGTTGCCAGACTCTGTATAAAGATTTAATCAATTGCTCAATCACGAATCTATCATTCTTTCCAGTAAAAATATACATATAATACATACTCATCGATTTACAATTAGAATATTCATAATTTCCATATACAAAGACTTCTTCATTGTTCTATTATACGTAGTTATGCCAATAGATACTGTTTACGTCATGGTAACTTATGGCCAAAAGTTATGAACTATTGTAAAAATTTCGCCCGTAAATATAATCCGTGTGATAAATGAATAAAAATAAAGATATATGTATAAGGCAGTGAAGAAATCAGTCAGTCAAGTCGGCAAATCATCTCTTCGAACGCATTGCCGAATTCAACAGGTAATTTAAAATTAACAATCCATAATACCGCGATAACGCGCGCTTGCTAAAAATCCGCGGACAGCCTTACGCCGCGGGCTCGGTCGGATCGTTAAATCCGACGATTCTCGATGCGGAAAGAATATACACATCTTATTTATTTTCGTCAAAAATCAGTAATGATCCCTGACGTCGATATTTTTCGAATACCTGCCGTATTACCTGCTCATACCGGCGGTGGCCCCCTAGGATAGCGTACTTGCAGCGTGAACCGACTTAGTGTGTTCCCAGCCTCGCAACAATACGGTCTCAAGAAATAAATAACAGCAGCGAAAAAGACGGTCAGAAGGGCGAAAGAGAATTTTGCCACTTTGCCGATTCGCTGGATTCTCACCCAACTCTGGGAAATCGGCTTGTCATCGAAGTCGTCTTTAGTCTCGCTTCTCGTCGTCAACACCGATTCCGTGTCGCTTTTTGACGTATCTGTACCGCAGATAGTTCTCTTGCGCTTGCTAAAAAAAATAGGAGAAGAAAAAAATATTTCGATGATCGAAATAAGTGCTGTTTAATATAATTACCGGATACCATGTGTATTAATGACATGTTTATATTTTACGCGGCCTAGTTTACATTATTTTATTATTTTATTTATATCGTGTAACGTTAATTTTGTTTTGTTAAATAACGCGTTAGCCGCTAGTCAGGCATATATACGAGGACTGTTTGGAGGAGAAACTTGCAGAAGTTCGCGACAACGAAAATTAATTTATGCTGTCCCACGGGTCACGATAATACGAGCAAACCGGTAATAGCAAAGTTCGTCGGAAAATCAATTTGGAGATGCATGCACGTAACTTGGAAGTTGCGAGATTGGACTTGCAATTACAGCTGGCGTTGCCCTATTCCTCCATTAGCATTACGTAAGTGTATGGTTATTTAACTTTTCTGCAAACTCTTCTCGCGTTAATTCGCGAACGGTAAGGAAAGATTTCAAACATACCGTTTCATTAAAATCTAGCTGTTTACAGTCGTAGAAGAAGATGAAAATGAGAAGAAAAAAGAGAACGTAGCGAAACGGAAGATCGTCAATCGAAGAAAATGGTACCGAGTTTTTATATCTCTTTTTATGACTCAGAGTGCGGCAGATGTTTCACGCCCGCGAAAACTAAACCTATTATCGCCACCACCGAGCGGTGATTGAACGTCCCTATAAAAACATCCTTAAAACAAAGTTAAATGAGATATACCGTAGTGATAATTGGAATCTGTAATTATATTGGTAAACATTATGAGATTGTACTCGAGAAATAAGAATAGAAGAATAAAAACGGCTTTACTAAGTTACAGACGATGGATAATACATTATTTCTCCGGCCTAATATTTTGTCAATAACACAAAACAAAATTAAAATTGTAAAATTGTTGTGGAAGACCATAATCTACTGTATGATTAAAATTTTTTATGTTTTAAGATGTGCCCTACTGTAAGAAATAGTGCAGTTATTATGCTCGCTCTCGGTAAAGTTCTTATATTCAAATGAGTAGTCGCCTAATGTCCAACGCAGGACCAACGACCTCGTGGTGCGTCCCCACACCTAAATAGTCGCCTTCATTCTTCACTTCCCATTTCGACGTTATGCAAATGAAATGCGAGCGTATAAGCAGGCAGTTCTTAAATTCTGAGTGGAGCCTCAAATGCTTTAGTAAATTCGGCGGTTTGCTTATTTATGATGTGGTTCGATTGTCACCTCATTTGGATAATATAAACGAAACGTAATAACGATTATTTAAATTTACAACTGAATCGATTGTGTTCTCCATGCTTTTGAATAGAGTCAGGTGACAAAGTTTTAACGCGTAGAGATTTGTCATCAACTACGATAAGAACTGATAAAGATCGTAGGTACTTACTCTGCGGGATAATTAATCTGGCTGGCTGTTCGTTTGATGGCACGCACATCCATACTCGCTCGTTCATGCGTACGCACGATCAGCTCCCTGCACTGCTTCTGCAAATCGCGTAGCTCAGTCTCGGCGTACTCGATTCTCTTCCAGAGGTCGGTCAGAACCTCGCTACCCGGTGTCAGTTGAGTCTCCAAGCTACGTGTAAGTCGCCGAAGCGCGGCCAATCTGCGCTCGCGCTCGCTCAACTCTTGATCGCTTCCACTGTCGGAGATTCCACTGTCGGAGAGTGAACCACCTTCTTGCGTGTGATTGCTCGCGGAACTACCGGCGAATTTTCCACAGTGCATCTCTTCCGTCGTTGCATCGTTCAGCACCGCATCATTCTGAAACACAGTTATCATAAGATGATTAGTACGATTATGCAGGGTGCTAAAGAAAACATTCAGCATTTATACACTGAAAGAAAAGATTGATTGAATATATAGCATTTTTAATTGGTTGTAGCAGTCAATTTTTGGTTGAGTTAGCCTATCGAAATCCTATATTAACATTGAAAAATTGGCTGCTGCAGCAAATTGATGGTGATCTTTTCTTTCAATGTATAGATTCAGTGTATATGCACACCATATTAGTAAGAGTAAAAAAACCTTAAATAGCGATCGTTATTTCATAAATAACAATCGCAAGTGTGATACAATATGAATGGATTGTAAGCATATTTACAAAAAATTGCAGTTAAAGCAGCCTCCGAGTTACCGTAACATTTTAAGTTATTGATCACGATGGTTAAAGAAATCTCTCAGGCGGACTACAATGAAACGATCGACGTGCGACGGATCGCGAGATTCTGATAAGTGGCGAGATATACCCGAGAGGACACGATATCGAATATTGTATAATCCACTCTTGCGCGTCACCGGAGGGCATCGAAAAGCGTATAAGACGATTATATAAAGTATAGGGAGGGAGAAAAGATGAGGGTGTAAGGTGGAAAAGCGAGAATAAGGCAGGGATGTTCGATGTTAAATTGATCACCACGCGATATGTTAACGAACGTTTTTGTAAGATTAGCATACGACTTTCCGAGATAACTAGCGCGAGTGGATGAAGATCTTTTGGATTTTTTTTCGTCACGACTCACGTGTATATAATCGTATACGTCAAGAGTGAATCAATACATTTTCATGAGAAAGATATATACGCGTCTCGTATCAGATATGTTTGCACTATGGATGTGCGATGGCATGGCGCGAATACTGGCGAAAATGCCAGTGGTAGTGGTCGAGTAGTAGACAGACAACCGAGAGAGGAAGGGTAGCTGCTGTGGAAGAAAGGGTAGGTTTAGGCTGTTTGCAACGGTGGAGACGGAGGGAACGAGCCTCCGGTAATGAAAAGCGCGATCCGCATACCAAGTAGCAACCTTCAACCTAGCCTATATATAAGTCGGTATACTCTCTGTCTCTCTTTCGCTCCCTCCCTCCCCCCCCCTCTCTCTCTCTCTCTCTATTTCTCGTATAACGGATAGTAGGTACGAAGTGAGTCGAGACGGAATCCACGTTGGTCCGAAAGACCAATCGCGCGAGAGAAAACTGCGAGGAACTTCTTATTTCCGGTTACATTCGCGAAACATATATACATATATACATATATATATGTATATATAGGTATGTGTGTATAGCGCAACAAGACGTGAAATATTTCGTATCGGACGTACCCGCGAAAAAAAAGGCGAGATAAAAAGAGTCTACTCGTTTATCTGCGTAACGCAAAATCCAACCCGTTTCTCGGAAGAAGACAAAAACCAAGAAGCGCGAAATATTTTTGCTAGATGTATTTACGTTCAAATAGTGATGTGCAAGGAAGACTTCTCTCTTATTCGCACGTGTTTCTTTAAATGTTTATTATACATGTGATTGTGGCAGGATCGAAAGCGCGATTGATAAACTGGTTTATCGTAACAAAACATAATATTCGGCGACACCGTGCACCGGCGGCTCTATACAAGCCATGGGCCAGACAAGCCTTGCTCTACCCGCGGTTGATATTAAATTTGTATTTTTACGCTGATTCCACGGGCCATTCCCGTACGTGACGCGAAAGGGAATCGTTCGGGCGATTAACGATCGGAGTTCCCTGGGGAGCCGCTCTGGCTCTGAGATGGCCAACACCCTCGATAGCAACTCGGACTCGCTGGATCCCAGCGTCGAAACTTATCTCCTTCTGCTTGCTACGCAGTGGCGGTCTCGCACATACATCGGTTAATATTTTATTTACTACCTATCAAAACTTATAGATTCTTTTTGCGAACAACGGATGCGTCCGTTAGTACGGACTTGCCGGTTGATTTTCAAGATTTGTAACGATACGGAAAATCTTGCAGTTTGCCTAATATAATCAACTTTTATGGAATTATGAAACATTTTCGAAATATTTTATAATTTATCACCACCACCGTCTCGCAGATAAAAATGCAAGGAAATAAAAAATTGCAAGAAAAAAGAGACTGTAATGTCGAGTGCTTTATCGTAGCCTTTCTTCTTCTTTGGCGCTCTCCGAAATAGAGGTGCTCCTGGAGAAGAAGGGACGGAGGGTTGAGAGGGTTGTCGCGAGGGGAAGATGAAAGAAGAGAAAGAGAAAGGGAGAGAGAGAAAAGGAAAATCGTAATGTCAAGTGCATGAAATTATTCCCTCGAGTGCTGTAGATCGGCAAGACTAAGAACTTTTCGGATTATACCGCCTTGACGGGAGTTTGAATACGTTAAAATATAGACGCGATACACATGGAAAGAAGTAGAAACGAGACGAAAGGAAAGGCTCCTATTATTGGAGTGAGAGTATTGTGTCGCGAGTCGTACGTCTTCTTGACAGGCGAAATGAGCACAGGGACAATTGGAAATTGTTACGGAGCACCTACACGCCGATACCACGCGGCATCGAGAGCAGTCGAATATAAGTGTTCAAAAATACTTTCGACATACAAATATATACTATATATAATTGAATCGTGTGTACCAATTATTATTTTTTGCGCAATAGAAAAATTAATAACGATAATTAACGGTAATTAATCGGCATGTCGTGTGATAATTTTAGTTTTCGTAATATTAACAATATTTTACACATATTTATAAAAGTTCGAATGATTTCTTACACGAGCAGGCTAGCTCTGATAGCGAATTTCCGAAGATCCGAGCAGTATGTCTTCCCGACAGACTAAACGAGCGAGTCGATCGAAAATCGCGGTTGCGGACCTGCCACTCGCTGCACCTTCAACTACTTTTCTTACGTCCATAAAGCAAAGAACCCGACGTAGAACGGGCTTGCCAAGAGATTTACTTTATATGCAAATTAGAGACGGATATGGTGGAAATAGGGGGATGTGATGGCGTTTAACGGAGACGCGATATCGACAAGTATCATCTGTCAAACGTACCCTCCGACCTGTGTGCCCCTTCCCCCTTTTCCTTCTACGAGTAACCTCCGCGTGTTCAGACTAGTCGAAGATTTATCTCTTGACGTGCGCCATATGTGGCGTTATACGTATATATACAACTCTCGTCTACGTAACATTCAATTATTTTTACTTCTTCCTAAAGTTTCGACACTGAGCTCGCTGCAGATAGTAGCAACCTCCATATAACATAAATTTTATAAAAAATTGTCTTATTTCTAAAACATTAGAGAGAAATGGTATATTCAAGATCCACCAATTGTGCTTGTTATGCTAATCGATACGATAAGAAGAAAACGTCGATACGGTATCTTTGGTGAAATCTGTACCACGCAATCTGAGGAACGCGATTTGCAAGCCGATTTAGCGTGACGTATATCGAAAATACAGGATATACAATCCGTATTATAATCTCGCTTTCCTTTAGGTAAGTTACATCCCCAAGATCCGCGACTCTGCCGATCTATGTGGGGGAATGGTTTTATGCACACAAGCGATGCCTCTGGGAACCGTTACCCCATCCACTGGCGTTGAATAATTGCTAACAGCCATCTAACCGATTGAAAATCAAGGACGCGATGGGGATATCTGATATAGGATTTCGGAAAATTTTCATAGTTCGCTAATCATAATCGTGAGTTGAGAAATGTCCAATTTAAGAAAAGATAAATCTATGTGAATTATAATTACATAGATTACTTTATAAATTTTACTGTTATTACTGTTAATTGATTGTGAAAGAATGTTAAATTTAATTGGAAAAAACAATACCTGACAATTGATGTCTTGTTCCTCGGACAAAAGCCGCGCGACGTGACAAACGGAAGAGGCAACCTCTGAAGTAACACCAGCTTGCATATCTAGGGCCATATCCAGAACTTCCAACGTGTTCTTGTCTCTCTGCAGAGCGGACTGTAGTTCGGCCAAGCGTATACCGAACTGCTGCATAGCTTGCAAAACGCACAGCTGTTGAGTGCCTCTGAAAAAAAAAAAAAAGTGCGGACGTATGCGTTAATGTGAGAATCATGCATTTTATTATATTTTATATTATGTCGCAGAAAATTTTTTCTAAATTGCGCAATGATAATAATTTTGTATAGGTGTAAATAATAATATAAACTAATAGTATTAACTATACTTTATAAATTAGAGGTTCTTCCTGTTTCATTTTCGTTTATTTCCTATAAATTATTCATTACTTCTCGAAAGGGTGAATATAAAGAACGCGAAGCAAATTTGGGCAGAAAAATCATGTGAGTCAATACAATAAAAAACGAAAAGAGGGTAAAGCCGTTGCGCAAACATTAAGACGTCGAATTATTAGTAGGCCCTCCCTTCGGCACTATCGGCAAATAAAAACACTTTATTCCAGGTCAATCTGTGAACGTCCCTAGCGAACATACGAATGAATCGAAGTAGGTTGATCTGTGTGTCCCTTTTTCGCATTGGCGTATCCATCAGAAAGGTGAAGAGTCGATATATTTATAAGACTTGCATATTTTACAACGTTGATAATGATACATATTTGATAACATTTTTTTTTTAATGAATTGCCGATTAATTGCGCGAATAATTCAAAAGGTTCAATAATTGTTCTTTGTGGAAATCATCTATTAAAAATAGAAGTGTCTCTTCGTACCAAACGAAGGGATAGGATTGACCTCTGTAAATCCCAATGGGTCAGTGGTAAACCCCTTTTTGAATGGCCTAAACCCCTATCAAAGGGGGAAATCGAATGCTCATATGGAAATTAAAAGAGGGTTGTAATGATCGCGCTAACTATTCGTCGTTGCTCATCTGAAGGAAAATATTATGGCAAAAATTATTGTTCACATAATTTTCTAAAATTATGAATTTATTCAACAAAATGATAAAGAATTTCTTATAAATAATTTAATTTCGATATTGAATAAATTTTAATTGTGTGTAGAGGGATCACTATTAGTTTATAAAATAAAATAGATTTTATTTTATAAATTATAATAAATAAGATTCATGTTTTTTTTATATTTTACCGATTTTATCGATAAAATAAGAATAAATGTTGTGATAGAAAAATGCAAGAAGATATTGCATCGAGCTGTCCCTCCCAAATCTCGATCGATTGCTTTTCTGTTAGAACTGTCACTCGGAAAAGGTCCGTGATTAAACGCGATCTCCGTTAAAGCTAGTAATCCCACGACACGGGTCAAAATCCCAACGAGGAGAGCCCTTACTGGCGGTACCTATGCCGCTCTCGGTTTCCGCTGTTTGCTTTAGTGGCTTCATTACCTCTCAAAATATTTGCCTAACGTCACACGTCGGCCAGCAAACGGCCAGTCGATGTGATCCAGTACCAACTATTCTGTACGGGATGTACCGTTGAACTTCGCAGAGTAGGAAGGGCATTCTCCAAATTAATCAAGAAAACTACTAAACCGTTTTCTCGCTCGTTACTGTCGCACGATTTTCTCAAAATAATCTGTCGATTATTAATACGCTCGCATTCACGGAGGGCGCATACTTTCTAATTTATATTCGTAAAATAATTAAAAATAACGAAATAATGAATAATGAAAAATATTAATTTGCGGCTTCGCGCGAATATTTTGTTCGCAGTAGTTGCAACAATTCTCTTGATTTTCGAGAATTCATTAAGAAAAGCAATTACTCACTTTTGGAACGTTTCGTCCCATATCCTGTAAAGATCCGCCACACCATCTTTGAGGGCTGTACAAATTAACGGCGCAGAGGCACCGAGATCGGTACGCGGAGATGTCAGTAGATGCGCGGAGGCGTTCAGTGTGGCCATTGCTGCCTTGCGGTCCTTCAGAACAGCCAGCTCGGTCTGCGAACATAAAATATACATTTTTAGTAGCTGGCTCGCTTGCCTAACTCAAACGAATTACCCGCGGTGCAGGGGCAAACGCGCAGGGGTCGCCCGAGGGTGAAGGTGATGTATAAAGTGGTCACAGGCTAAGAATCCGGCTAAGAACGGATACACGTGGGATCTAAGTGAGTTTTATCGCGTATCTACCGGATAACTTTCTTTTCGTGTCGATCGATCGATGCAGCATCGCATTCTGTGTCTTTCACTTTTGTATCTATCCAACTAATTATCGAAATAAAGTATAGATATCCTGACAAATATGTACAATGGAGAATATATTATATTTTTCGGGAGAGGTTTGGAAGATCCATTTACGATTGATCACGAATCGCTATTTCCATCCAGAGTACCAAAAATTTTATGAAAAATATTAATTTTCGCCAGATGGAGCACCAAATTATTAAATTGCTTATTAATTTAATTTGTGATATTACTATAGTAGTTTAAGGAGGTTCTCGCGCTACTTCCTAGCCAATAGACAGTTTATTCATAATAATACGTAAAACAATTAAAATAATGAAATAAAAATTACTAACAGTATCTTGTGTCATTATACATATATAATTATTGTTAATTTTATATGATACTAAATATTTTCAAAATGACAAATTAAAAGTTGTAAGATGCTCATTTGATGTGCATCGTCCATTTAACATAAATTTCTTGTAAACTGTACGGTTTAAAGGAAATTTTACGAGAACAAACTTAAGTGTTTACTTTATAATTATAACAATTTTTTAATTGCTAACTTATACGCAAATGTCTCAATTTAAAAGAGAATAACTACAGAATAAGGTTATACCTCCAACTTGTTGTAATGTAAAATTCTATAAAAATTTAAAATTAAATATCTTCGAAATGGTACGGTAAAAGCCAATGAAATTTTTTTCTAGATATTATTGATATTATTAACATTTCTATTACATGTATGTTATAGACTTGTCTTATATTTCATCAAATGCGAGAACCTCCTTAATTGCGTTTGTAAGTCCGAAAAAGTATTTCGGCGCGCAGTTCAAATGACTACATACTTAGTATATAAATTCACATAGAAATTATTTAAAAAGTATCTAAGATTCAGCTTCGTAATAGACATTAAAACTCTTACTTGTGTATTTCCATACACGGTCTTTTAATACGTAGTTATTATTATTAATTGTTGTGCTCGATCGATGTGAGAGATCGACCAAACAAAGACATAGCACGGTAGTAGCGAACATTGGTATAGTTCTTTCGAGGAGAAGGAAATTACTTTGAAAGAACGGAAGAAACGAGAGAGGTAGAGGATATAAGACGCGCGAGATGACCGCAAGGGCGAGTTTTACGAGCTTCCCTTCGAGGTCTCCTGCTCGTCACGCGATGAGCGAGAGAAATGGAACGGGAAGAAGAGGAACGGGCTCTCGTTTTCGTTCTCTTACGCCCTGTGTCGCCGTCGTAAACCCGGGTTTATTTATGCGGTCCTCGTCGGTAGCGTCCCGCGGTAGGACGACGGGGATGTGACAACGTGACGTGGTTACTGCATCGTGTTTCCACAACCCTTGTACTTAGCTATGCTGCTACTGATAAATACTCGTTCGCTTTCGTTATTTCCTCTTCTCATTCGAAAATTATACTCTGCTCGCGATCGATGCAGAGTATCTCTTGTATTTGTGTCCATATTGGAAAAATTGTTTCAGAAACTGCCACGGCATTCGCCGCAAGTCGCTGGCAGTTAGCTGGTTTTGTTTGTGCCGTCAAGCGGGGCAAATCGCGCGATGAAAAGGAGAACGGTCCCCGCGACGCGGTCGGTATTGCAAAGTGTGCGGCGTGGATTTGCCCCGGTGTCCGGCGAAAAGTGGCTGTCATTGATATTCCGGGCGCATAGCAAAGGCAGAAGCGACCGTTCCCCGCTTCTACCCCTCTTTTCGTAACCACCCTGCTACGCTTCTCTTCGCCGCGCCGCCATCAGTATCAACGACGCATAACCAGCCCCTGCCACCGACTATATAAACCCTCCTCGCCTCTACCCTTGCGGCTCGCAGACACGCACATTCCGATCTAATTCAATTTCCAATCAACAGCCAATCAATTGATTCGAATTCGGTATACAGAGCGGCCGCTGTGCGTTCGGGACTTGCATGCCTATGAGGCTGCCTGCCCTCCATACCACCGCGCACGTACCCCCCGTAAAAGTAGAGAATTAGCTTTTTACGTCTCGTAATTCCGCGGTACTAACTGGAACAGAGATACACTGCCGGTATTCTAATTGTGCCAAGATCTCCCCGCGGCGTATCATGTTCCGCGCGCGCGGCTCCTTTCGCGATGGAACGTAAGACCGAATCTTGCCGGGATAGACGTCGTGATAAGAGAAGAAATAGACAAACTTTATTTTAAACAATTTTACCAACCACCACCTTTATACATATAATAAATATATGTACATTTGACGCTAAAATATTATTATGCGTATAGTTGTATGTTTCACATGTGATATTATTATATACTCGTATATGTAAAATAAACAATTCTCTCCGAAGATTAATTTTATCAATTATTTACACTGGACGCCATAAAATTATCACGTAAAATTAATTTTGTGGATGAAGCAAACATACGTTTGTCCGATATTACGCAATAACATAATCAGTGGGGTGACGTGCTTCATCGAATCGCGTCGTATGTTCGGCCCCCACACCATTGCGAATGTACGTGCCCCGCAGGATGGACGCGTAGACCCAATTGTGCCCTGCTTAGCAATGCATAATACATAACGGAATGTTCAATTCTGTTTCGCGCGTGTCAGTCTGCGTTTGTTCGCGCCGTTGCGCTTTTCGGAGCTGCGGCCTGCATGTCAATCGCGAACTCTTCACGTGCGCGGCGGACAATCATCCGCGATACGTAATCAGCTTGTTGACGGTGTTGTTCACCTCTCTCGTGCACCCGCGTACGTATATACACTACTACATCGGCGTTTGGGTATTCCGATTCTTTTCGCCGGCTACTTCGCGGCGTGTCCTGCACGAATTCCCGTTGAGAGACCGTGTAACCCTCGTAGTGACTGGACATACAACATCACGAGTCTTACGACCGCATCAAACTCCCTCGCTATCAGGGACTTTGACGACGGTAAAAGCATGAGAGAGGTAAACGAAAAAAAGAAAAAAAAGAGGAAAAAAAAGAGGTAAAACAAGAGTGTGGTTCTCGCGTTCGGACCGGCGTGGATTGGCGCGAGCTACACGTCTCGTGCATAATGCAGCAGAGCGACGAGTTCACCCGGCAAATGTTGGACGCTAATACATCTTGATGATAGATAGGGAGCATGTGTTTGGTCTTCGCAATGAGGCTGGGGAGGGCGCGGAGGATGTTGCGGGGGTGCGGCGGCAGCAGCTTCCGCGGTGTAGGGCGGAATGTGCCGGGAGGATCGAAGGGGGATGGAACTCTCGGGGGGTGGAACTCCACCGAGCGGGGTTAGCTAGGTTCGCCGGTGTTCGCTCTCCGCGCGAGTTGCGATGCCAAGCACGTCGCCGTCAGACGAGCGTACGTGCGACACGACTACGCTTTTACGCCACTACCTCTGCCTCTACTTGGTTCCTGACTGCTCTCTCCTACTCTCTTTCTCTACCTCCCCGTCTCCGCC